TCTTCATTATTATTTTCATGGAACTTACCCTGAGAGGGGATACCCACAAGACCAGCTTTTAACAATGTTTGGAATGCAGAGCTTATTTCAACGAAGAATTATATCTTCAATTATTTTCATTTTTAAAATAGTACACCATTTAATTAAATGCCCGGCTTTATGTGCTCAGCTTAACTTCCTAGTTCCAAGAATTAATTCCAGGTACAGCTGCACATTCATTCTTCCCACTCCCAGAACAAACTTATTATGTCAGTCTCCATTGTACCATATGCTGTCCACGGTTAATGACTCGAGTAAAGAAATTGATCTATTTTGTACTACCATCTCAAAGATTAAAAAACTTTATTCCTGATTTATATCCATATATTCCTAATTAAAATATTTAGTGAATTGTAATTTAGTGTAATTAAGTTTTTTATGTTTTTGTATCTAATTTCATCTTTATATATTAGTTGTTTCGCATGCGATATGTGTGAGTAACCTTTTTTCTCCACTGGAGTTTTTTTCAGATTACTCATACAATCTCATTTATAGTTTTACTTTAAAATTTGTTTTGCTTTTATTGTATTATTTACAAATATATGTTTATTAATGTTAAGTGCGCATTCTGTAATAGGCCTTGGCCGTTGAATGTAAGAATAAATAAATAAATAAATAAAATAAATAAATAAATAAATAAAATAAATAAATAAATAAATAATCGGTACTTTCAAATTCATGGCTAGCTGCACATTATACAAATTAATTTTTTCATTTTGTGCGTTTGGACTTCTCGAGAAATAAAAGTGGAGAAAATTCCTCATATTGACAGCTTTTGGGAAGAAAAGGTGCAAAATAAAATTCAAAATTATTATATGCAATATGCCTTACCAGAACTAGTTGACAGCAGAGCTAATAGAGACATGGAAGTACGGGACAGAATGCCAAATAAATGGTGAGTTTAACAGTATGGGTTTTTTATGAATTTGTTCTAGAAGCTGTACCTCATTATAACAGATTATTCAAACAATAAAAATAATTTTTGTTAAAATATAAATAATAATATGCTGAAAGATTATATCTGATCGCTACATATTATAAAACCAAAGGTACCTTTTCATTTAACTAACTCACACATGGCTACTCCAAGTTTAAATATTATAAATCCGCTTGAACATAAAAAATAACAGGTATAGAAAATATTTTTTAAAAACCTAGTTTATTTAAAAATATAAAATGTCATGAGACCGTTTATTGTTTGTTTACATTGGCCTCCTGTTTTTGTTACTTTGACTTTTTGTATCGAGGACGCTTTTCTACTCTTAATCAATTATTATTAGTGGAGTGTATGTATTAAAATACTCGCTCTAGAAAACGATTTACCCCCTTTGTCACAAGCTGAATTTTTCAAAGATAAAAGGTCATGATAAGGTAACCCTTATTCCGGAGGTAACACAAAATTAGACTGTGCAGAAGGGCACTATTATCAAAAATCCAGATACTGATACCACCGAATAAAAAAAATATTTATTTTTTGGTCCAATGCACAATAAAATCTTTGTAAGGAGTAATTTTTATACTTATTTAAAAAAAATTTCAGCCCTTCAAAAATTTGTTTAAAAAGTAATTTTTTTAAATATAATTTTATCATTTAACAAAAAGGAAGGTCCTAATGAAAAACGTAGTATAGCTCTGTTTCTCTCTACGTGTCGGCTGATGCATCACATTATTGATATGCTCAATTTTTTTTCATTTTTTTATTATAAAACTTTTCGTTAGGTGCCAATGGACAAAGTGTCATATTGTTTGTTTTTACTAAAAAATTAATGAGTGTGTTACATATTAAAGTTCCTAATAAATTGGGAAGAAATATAGACCTTTTTTAGGTTTTTATTACATCTACATTCATCCTGTTATAGCTGAATGCCTGAATATATTTGGGTAAGTTGGGCAAGTTTTCGTTAAACATTTTAATTACGGATTTATTGTTGCAAGAAGCAAAGACACAAATTATATCAAAATATAACTTCTTAATCCTTGCATGGTCAACAGTTTCTTCACAATATTTTATTAGAAAAGGATATGGACAGAAGCATTAGGTAATTATGCCGAAATACTTAAGTTTGATCTGACAGCCTCTCCCATGTCTCTAACAGTAAATGGGTATCTCGGCACCTCTACAAATAAGAGTTTATTGGGAAATATTTTAGAGCAATATGACCTACTAAGACTTACCTGCACCTAGGTGATCTTGCAAAACTTGTCACATTTTTGATGGGATAGCAATAGCTCAAGGTTTGGGAAAGTCCAAAAGTTGCATATCATTTAAAGAATATGCTAATATATTTGTAAAGATTATTTTCAAAAATAAATTTAATGCTCGAAGGATAGATGTGGTATTTAATCATTATAAAGAAAATTCTATCAAAAATAAAACACGTCAAAAGAGATGATCCCAGAAATCAATTGACATAGAAATTGACCGACCCAATATTCCACTTCCAGAATAATGAAACTTGTTCATTCATTCGATATTTACTAAAAGACGTTTAACACATTTTGTGTCAGAGCAACTTCTTGAAAATTTGTATCTAGTGATGGATTCGCGAGTATCAATAAATATGGGATGAATTTTGAACCATCAAAAGACGAATTCTTAAATTTAAATCTTGAAGAAGCTGATACTCGTATCTTATTGCACATATTATCAGCCAGAAATTCGGGGAATTCACGCTGCATTATTGATTGCAACGATACAGATGTTCTAGTCTTATTAATTTATTTTAAGTAGTTTTGAACTAAAAAGATATGGTTTATAATAGGGCGAGGAGACTCGTGACGATTTATAACAGTACATGATTTAAATTTGGATAAAAAAACTTCTAAAAATTTTGCCTTCTTTTCATTCTGTGACAGGTCGTAATAAATCCAACTAATTGTCTGGCATTGGAAAAAGAACCTGTTGGAAAACCTGCCTTGAACACCATCACCTTTTGTATAAATTTAGCACTGATTCGTAGGTACTCTGAAAACACATTCTCTAATCTTGAAATTTTTTTTATAAAACTGTATTCAAAAACTGCCAATGTTACCCATTAACATTTTGAGGAGATCATTGGCCCCTTTAAAATAATTACTAAATTGCCATTGACTGAAGACGCCCTAAGATTACATTGTTTAAGATGTTTTTTCCAGCTAAGTATTTGGCTAAGCTCTTTAAAGACCCAGATGCAGTTTCCTAATGTTGAAGAGTATGAATGGAAAGTAGATCAAGATTGAAGCCTGATACCCACTCTTAAGATTATGCTCGACCTGCTACCAGAAATAACAGAACGTATCATGCAAATGCAAAAAAGGTACTATACACCGATAATTTTCATATATTATGTACAATATTTTAATAATATTATTCTATTCTAAGCAAAATTTGCAAATGCAGAAAAAAATATTGGCTACATCGGTCAATGCACCTGTATGGCACAGAAAAGCTGCAGAAATAGTTGGATCATAGCCGCTGTTTTGGAAAATGTAGGTTAATGTGGTGAATCTGATTTTGATTAGTTTGAGTCCTGTACTTATATATTTTAATATTATTAATTTATGCTTTATATACCTCTAATTATTGAATTTTTTATTAGGAATTTATTGTATTCTGCAAAGCAATAGCCTTACTGTTTATAACCTATACTTATATATACTGTGCTTATACCTTCCATAAATAGTTTATATTTTATTTTTTTATTTTCCTCAAAAAAAATCATGAAGTAATACATCCTATAAAACATTATTCGCCTTCATGGCGGATAAATCAATAATACCTATATAAAATAATGTAAGAGAGTCAAACAGATTGCATACATTTCATTCCTGAGAGAGACGCATACAGTCAAGAGACTGCTCCCTTTCCTGTAAAACCATGACATCAGTAATTGTTTATTGCTATATTTTTGTTAATTTTATAGCAAAAAATATAAGGAAAGCACTATTACCTTGTCAATACACAGGCGAAACTTTTATGAGGAAAATTTTTTTTTCGTTTAGGCCTTTGTTGTTCGTCAAATGAAAGGTATATTTCTAAAAGAAGATTTTTTAACCAAATTTGTCGACAGCCAAAATAAATTTTAATCTACAATCTACACCATACATATATTGTAAAATACATACATACATACAGGTTAATATTATTTTGTGCTATTGTGGAATATTTTTCGGTTCCCTTGTCTTCAACTTCGCGTTAGTTTAGAATATGCATCCCCCGTATCTACATGCAATTGTTAAAATTATGAATGAATGCTGATTTTGTTTGGTCTCGGAAGTAATTTTGTAGTATTTAGGCTCCACCCTTAAGTTGTAATTTTTATACCTACTAAACTACCGTTGCCCCGCAGGTCTTTTAGTTTGTAATGTAAATTTTCCTCTTAACAGGTCGCAGATTATCTGAAAACCTTTCACAGTCCTCAACCGTTTCGACATGAGAGAACAACTTTAAATCATCGTCGTATAGAAGAAAATTTATATCTGTATTTAACATATTGCTTATATCATTTATTAATATGTTAAATAACAAAGGACCTAGATTAGAACCTTGCGGAACACCGGTAGTTGCCAGATATTGAGTCAACTTGAAACCGTTAATCTAAACATATTGCTTTTTGTCGGAAAAGTAAAACTTAAATAAATTTAACAGTGATTGTGAAAAACCACAGCATGAAAGTTTATTTAACATGATACCATGATCAAGCCGATCGAACGTTCTGGAAAAGTCGGTGTATATTACATCCGTCTGGATTCTCTTGTCGATATTTTCTACAATATACTGTGTTATAGCTAAAAGATTGGTAACGGTGGAATGGCCTTTCATAAATCCATGTTGTTCTGTTGATATCATATTACTGACGTGATGAAAAATCTTGTTTTGAAGTAACATTTCAAATACTTATAATTACTTATAATTTAAATTGGACGATATTGTGCAATGTCCAATTTATCACCATTTTTAAATAAAAAAAATAAAGGCAAGGTACAGTATTAGATTTTTATTAATTCAATAAGTTTTTTTATAATTTTACTAATTAGCGTGGGTAGTATTATACAATTTCCGAATACCTAATCTATAACTCAAAAGCTGCGAAATTATTTTTTTAATATTTTACTGAAAATGTCCACAAATTTCTTTCTTCCAATTTCATTTAGATCTCTATAGGGTAGACTATCCATTAATTTTAACCACTCCTTAATTCTAGGATATTTCGTTTCATTAATCGGTACCAAAACCCGTGAGTTTGAAAGCGTAGTCCAAAAGCTGAAGTCGGCTATCGTTAGTTCAGCACCTGTAAGGTATTTTGAATTTTTTAAAAATATTTCCAAATTTTCGTAGCTTTTTTCTAAAACTTCAACAGGATCCTTTTCCGGTTCTTTATTATCTTTGTGGAGGATGCTATACTAAAACATAATTTTAAATTTTAAAAATTTAATTAGATATTTACAATAAAATATGAGTAGGTATAATAGTACCTATGTCCACAAAATTGGACATAAAACAAATATTAGCTAATCGCTTTATTTTAAGTAATAATCCTAAACATGATCTCTTTTTAATTTTATTCTAATTTTTTTTTAAAAACATTTTTTTAAATTCATCTATTTTTACAAATCTACACAAAGTTGATATTAATCCTAATAAATTATATTTTTAATTGGAACTCAGCTTTTAAAATAAAAAAAAATAAATATATCTCTTTAGGAGGTTCTCTAAAAAACATTTATTCATCTTATTCAGTTTAAAATTAATTTTAGGGTTTAGTATAAATTTAGGCTCTTTGAACTTAAAAAATATGAAAAATATATGCATTGAAGTTTCGATGACCCACTACACGATTTATTACATGATGGATCATACTGTATTTCTTTTTGTTTTGGAATATTTTACAAATTGAAATAGGGATGCTTTCCAAACATTATTTAACAAATAACATTTCAAATAATTGAATAGACAATTTTGAGCCTAATTGCATTAATATTTTGGAAAAACATACTTACCATCTTTCCTACATTTAAAAAATATGATAAAAATTTAAAAAAAATTTGTGGTTAAAGTTTTTCCTAACTTAAAATTAAAATAAATTAATAGGTATATTTGGAAATTACCCAAATCTTTACCACGAAATTATATGCAGAAATATTTAAAGTATCCAGATAAAAATATATTTTATTTTTCTAATCTTTTCAAATAAACAAACATATTAATTAAATTTGATATAAGTTAATTTTTTTTATATACAGGGTGTTCTATTTCAGACGTGCCACCCCGTATATTTCTTATCCCATAGTAATTGGAAAAATTTCCCGAAACACGTCGGATGATTTTCTTTGTGGGACATCTTTTGACGTATATTTAAGACTTGAACGAGCAACCCCCTATGAGGGGTTGCTCAAAATTGAATAGGGAAGAGGGGTTAAGTGGGTCTTCGAAGCCTATTTACAACGGTGTATGAAAAAAATCACATTCTTAAAAAAATTAATTGTTTTAGCATGCTTACAATTAAAAAAATCAAAACTGTATCAAATCCATTGACTTCCATACAATAATAAATTCTCTCGAACTAATAAATAAAAAAAAATTAAAACATTTTCTTATCTTGCCTTCATTTTTTGTTCTTAGAAGGTGTTTATCACGTTTCTTCGATCATTTCGGCATACCCTGTCAAGGTTATGCCGACGACATAGTCATATTTGCTAGTGGCAAGTTTAGTAATATCCTGTGTGATATAGTCCAAAGAGGACTAGAACATACCAAAAGATGGTGCCGTGAAGTGGGACTTAGTATAAACCCTACAAAAACAACACTAGTAGCCTTTTCAGGGAAAAGAAAACTTAATCTCAAAACCGTTAAATTAGACGGGATAGATATAGAATGGAAAAATGAAGTCAAATATCTAGGCCTAACCCTGGACAACAAACTTCTCTGAAACACACATGAGAAGGAAGTAGTAAATAAGGCCACAAAAGCCCTAATGGTATGCAGAAACATGGCGGGTAAACGATGGGGATGTAACCCAAACATACTGCGATGGATGTATACTGCAATAGTGAGACCAATCATCACTTACGGGGCTATAGCCTGGAGTAACAGAACTAGTTTAGTTACTACTGGAGCTAATATCTCAAAAGTACAAAGACTAGCCTGTGTTTGCATTACTGGTGCAATGAGAACTTGTCCTACGGCAGCAATGGAGGTGATCTTAAACCTCACCCCTCTACATTTGATGATAGAGAATGTGGCAAAAAGGACACGATATAGAATGATCAGGAGCGGAGTAATCAGACGAAAGTCTACTTGCTTCAGGACTAAAGATACCTGGGACATGCCCCAGGATGAAATGCAAAAGAAGTACAGTTTTGTGAAAAACTTCAAAACCACAGAGCTGGGCTTCAAGAAAGAATGGAGCCAAGAATCCATCGCGCTTGTAACCGAAAGACGTGCTATTCAGTGGTACACGGACGGTTCCAAAACCATAGAAGGAACTGGAATAGGAGTGTATGGGCCGAGAACCAAGCACTCCGAAAGCTTGGGAAAATACCCAAGCATCTTCCAGGCGGAAATTCATGCCATCGAAAAGTGTATCCAGTTTAACATCGAGAGAAACTATCATAGACAAGAGATTATCATCATGTCCGATAGTCAAGCAGCCATCAAAGTGCTGAGTTCTTACGTAATCAGCTCAAAAATGGTATGGAGATGCCTAGAAAAATTGAATGAGCTAGGCGAGAAAAAAAGAGTTACTCTCACTTGGGTCCCGGGACATAACGGGGTACAGGGTAACGAGATTGCAGATAGTCTTGCAAGGAAAGGGGCTCAAACACCCTTTGTAGGACCTGAGCCGTTCTGTGGTATCAGCAGTAACATAATATTAGAAGAGATTAAAAAAGAATTGGGTAGTAGAAAAACCGATAATTGGAACAATCTCTTGGGGCTGAGACAGGCCAAGATACTTCTGGGTGAATATAACCAAAAAAGATCGGAAGCCTGCATCTGCCTGAGCAAGAACAGGCTACGTATTGTAACAGGGATCCTTACCGGGCACTGCCGACTAAAAGGACACCTAAGTAAACTGAGAGTAGTAGAGGATAGTGAGTGCAGATTCTGTGAGGAGGAGGACGAAACCTCCATTCACATCCTAACTGAATGTGTAGCACTCCAGAATCCAAGGGCACAATATATAGGAGGATATCAAATAGAAGAGGGAGACTTACCTAACTTGAAGCCACTTCAAATCCTACACTTCCTTGAGAAAATAGGATTGGAAGGGTCGCTATAGGCATTGAGACATTTCCTTAGTGCAGTGGCGACAGAAGGGGGCACAATAGATCTATTAGGTCGCAGTGTATTAACACCCCATTATCAACATAACATAACATGATAAAATAATTATTTTTTTAAGAATGTGATTTTTTTCATACACCGTTGTAAAGGGGCTTCGAAGACCTTACAAATGAAGTATTACTCAACCCCTCTTCCCTATTCAATTTTGAGTGGTTAAAGCGCCCCCTCATAGAAGGTTGCTTGTTCAAGCCTCAAATATATGTCAAAAGATGTCCCCCACAGAAAATCATCCGACGTGTTTCGGGAAAATTTTCCAATTACTATAAGATAAGAAATATACGTGGTGGCTCGTCAGAGCTGGAACACCCTGTAATATAACAAATGAAATACATACTTTCATTAATGCAATACTCGATACTACAAATTGACGTCAAAAATAAAAAAAATTCCAGAGTGATTTATAAGATATATAATGAATGAAATGTGCAAAACTGATAATTCGTCCTGATCTGGATTATTAAGAATCGGACATTCTTAAATATGGTAAACCAATATTGGCTTATCCACAGAGTGTTTCATTAATAATTGTCTATTTAATGACTCACGAATCCTTGACTAGAAATATGACGATTTAACCTATACCAGTTAATATAATCTGTCTAACCGAGGTACAGGCAGGTATCAGTAACTAGTAGCTGATAGCATGTTTTTGGTTTAAAAGAATGGTTATTCGTGATGCTGTACACAATATTGTCATGCAACCAGTCTGGTCCTGTTCTTTGTTTAACTTTACCGCTACCGTTTCTGCTAACGTTTAACGATCGAGAATCCACTGAAATGTTATTTGTACGCAGGCCAAAATTCGATTATGATGAATAAAGCAATTTGGTTTTATACTCTGTGGCATTTTCAGATCACGGTTTTTCTTATTCAATACTTTTTTATTATGTAATCAATGGTTATTATGTTTTTAAGACCCAAGTTCTTTGTCGTCTATATCAAATAAGATCTTTTTAATATTTTATATCTGGCATCACATAGGTTTTAGGCCAGGTAATAACCAAGATACAAACAAAATATTACAGAGAAAACTCAAATCGCATCCATGTCCAACTACTTTAGAAATACCACAGAATGAAATAGCGCGTTTGAAAATAGCACGTTTCAAAATAGCTTTTTTTAAATAATTTTATGGCAACTTAGTGAGGCCCTATTTTAAAAAATGCTATTTCTTTCGCGCGCTGTTTTAAATGACGTTCCGAACCCTATTACTAAACCTCCGCTGTCCGTTTTTCTGTTAGCGGGCTGTGTCTCATGATCCGTAACAGGTAGCCAGTTAAAATTTTCACAGAATGTGAATTTCTGTAGCCGCTATAACAAATAAAAATAAATAAAAATTTAAAGAGGCTTGCCCTTTTTTTTGGCTCGATATTTTTCAAGGGGGTGACCGACGGGAACCTGATGTTTGTGGGATGGCTAGTATTCGGTAAGAGAAGTAGGGAGCCCAATTACAAGCCATTAATCTCGCCATTTGATGCCGTTTCAGCAGCTATGGAGCGGTGGAGAGTTGAACATCGGATGTTTACGTATGACGCATTTGTGCATAATGGCGGGTCTATTATTACCGTGCAGCGACTTTTTCGTGTACGTTTCAATCGTATGCGTCGTGGAACCGTTCCAAACCGCAACACGATTCTCAGTTGGATTCATAATCTACGGAAAATAGGATCTATTGTGAAAAAGAAGCCACCAGGTCCGACTAAGATAGCAAGAACACCAGACAACATCAAACGTGTGAGAGCCGCTGTAACTCGTAGTCCTGGGCTCTCTGCACGCAAACACACGCGCGAACTAAGAATAAGCCGTAAATCTCTGCGAAACATTTTACAGAAAGACCTAAAATGTCACCCTTACAAAATGTGTGTTGTTCAGAAACTTGAAGAAAGAGATTATGCGCAGCGGCAGGAGTTTGCTTTTCGAATGCAAGTGCTTTTGGAAGACAATGAGAATGTCATTATTATAAGTGACGAGGCGCAGTTCCATTTGGATGGGGGAGTTAATAGACAACATTTACGGTACTGGTCCTCTGAGAATTCACGTATCGTGCACAAAAAGCCTTTACATTCAGAGCGTGTAACGGTTTGGTGCGCTACTACTCCATTCGGTATCATTGGTCCTTATTTTTTCGAGGACGAGAATGTTTCAACTGTTGCAGTGAATGCCAGACGTTACTGCCAGATCCTGAACACTTTCTTGCGTCCCGAACTACGCAGGCTGCAACTGGATTTGGAAAATATTTTTTCCAACAGGATGGTGCCATTGCACACATTTCTCGTGTGTTCATGCAAGTGATTCGAGGCATCTTCTCAGAACGTTTAATTTCCTATTTCTCAGTTCGAGCGCTCGCTACGAAGCTCGAAAAATTGCAGCTCGAGCACGCTACAACTCAGCTCCGAACAATACGAGCGCATCGCGTACCGGTACGGCTCGAGCGGCTCGAGTCTCTTATGATCCGAGCGTTCCGTATTTTGAATGAATCATTCAACATTAAATTTAGTGGTGAAAAGTTATTAATGTGTTTAGGTCCCCGTAATATAAGTGTGATAAGAATAAGTTTTTGACTTCATTTACGTTAACAGTAAGTATATAAGATTTTTTTCATTCGAATAAATGAAAATTATTTGATATTTCGAATAAGTAACCAGTCATAAACTCGGTTCATCTAAGCAATGGAGTGCTCGAAAACATTATCACACCTTGTACACGTGATCTCTCTGACGAGGCTGCTTTTACAGAGTCACACTAAGGGGCGATCGAGGTTTTATTAATTTTATTAAATAATATGCAACTAAGTATGGAAAAATTACTCGATGATAAGTTCATTACCAAGAGTTTGAATGATTCGGAGTACGGAACACTCGGATCGTTCGAGGCTCGAGCCGAGCCGATACGCGAGGCGCTCAAGCCAAATATTATACAGGAGCCGCTCGGGCATCGGACTGGTCGTACTGTTCGGAGCTCCGCTCACTTTATTATATTAAAAACGTTTTAAAAAATATTGTTACGCAGCACCCTGTAGCATGCTGCGGTCGTCATAAGTAAAGGTACGAGTAAATAAAGAATATAGAATATTCCCGAAATGTCTCGAAATGTCATTCCTTGTCAAAGAAAAGTCCAGATTGTTCGAGAACGTTCTAGAAGGTCGAGGCAAGCTATATAAGGGGACGATCTGATGTCAGAGTTCAGTTTTATGATAGATGTTACATGTTAATGTTATCAGTTGTATCGTAATTGTTAAAGTTGAACTGAGTTATTGTAACGTTGAGTTAAAATAAATTGTGATACCAATAACCAGTGTAACATTGGTGACAGCGGTGGGATACAAACTAAAAGTTCATGGCAAATACTAGATCTACTAAGTACGAAGCAGGCATGGATTCTTCTGGCCCACCAGTATAGATTTGAAGATGGAAGAGGAAAAGGAAAGACGTAGGAGGGAAGAAGAGAAGGAAAAGAAAAGGCGAGAAGAGAAGAAGGAGATACGCAGGATGGATGAAGAAAAAGAGAAAGAAGAGAGACATAGAAAAGCAGAGGTAGAAACAATTAACGGTTTGCTACAAATCCAGAAAACCTTCAAGCAAGAGGTTCGTCAGCTTAAAATTGGAATAGATCTGCTAGAGCAACATCAAGAGCATCTTAAAGCTAATTTAGAGAAACAGCAAGAGAATCTGAAGGCTAATTTAGAAAAACAAGAACAGGCTAGACTAGAGTTGGAAAGGCAAATTAGAGCCGAAATGGCTGAGTTAAAAAAAATAATTTACAGCCAAGCTTCAGTAAACAGCATTGAAGCTGCAAACACTACTACCTCGTCTTCATCCATAACCGAACCGAGCCACATTCGAATCCCAGTTTTACAAAACTATACAAGCAAGACCCCCAAGCCACCTACGTTTGACGGTCAGATAACATGGGAATCATATCGACTTCAATTTAAAGCTGCAGCTAGAGCCAATGGCTGGACCGAGAAAGAGATGGCGGCTTCACTAATAGTGTCACTGCGAGGTCAGGCAGTTATTCATCTCTCGTTCAAGCTTTGGAGACAAGATATGGCCAGCAGCATTTGCAACGGGTATTTCAAAGCCAGCTAAAGGTTCGTAGTCAGAAACATAATGAGAGTCTACAAGAATTTGAGGCTGATATAAGAACATTGATTCATCTGGCCTATCCATAGGTGCCGAAAGATTTCCAAGAACAACTCGGAATACAAGCATTCATTGATGGACTACAAGATGTGGAAATTCAGCAAGTCCTTCGTCTACGACATCACAAGACGCTGAGGGAGAAATGATTGCAGCTCAGAAATATAAAGCGGTGAAACTCCTATCCAGATCTTCTCGCGCAAAAATAAGAGAAATTAAATCCCAGGAATGTGAGGAGGTCAAAAGTAATGCTATTCCTTAACCTACCCTCTCGCAAATATTTAATATCCTGCAAAATATGCAATGAAATAGTCAAAATAAGAACAGAAGATGCTTCAATTGCGGAAGAATCGGGCACCTTTAAAGAACCTGTAGAAGCAGAGCTCGTTTTATAAATAGAAAATCAGGGAATAGGGCCGAAAAGTCACATATATCAATCTTCCGAAGCCCGTCACGGAGTCCGACAAGAAATAGTCACAGCAGCTATGCGTCCCGAGCTGGCTTTCTATCAATAATCAGGAAATAAGCATCGTAGAAGCCGTCTCCATAGCAACGCGGACATTCTCTCCAGGCGACCCTGTTTAGAACGAGAATGCCGGTATAGTAAGGGACTCGGAAAAAGGAAGGAACCAGTTGATAAAGTTACCCTTCGGGCAACCACTATCAAACTAGAGGGAGATGAAGAAAAAATCTCCCTTGAAAACCTGAGAAAGGGGCAGAAGAAAGACAATGATTTGAAAGTTGTTCGAGAATGGCTCAAAACTAAAGTTACACCTACTTGGCAAGAGATAGCCAAATACAGTGGAACTATTAAAAGGTAATAAACTCAGTGGGATTCCCTGTATCTTCACGATGGCTTATTGCACCGGAAGTGGGAAAGCCCTGATGGAGTACATGTAGTCCGCCAAGTGGTACTGCCAAATGTCAGATGTGTGTTCATTGTAGCCGTTCGGGAGGACATTTTGGTACTAAAAGAACACTGGCGCGAGTTCGGTAAAGATTTTATTGGGTCAATTGCCGACGGGATGTAGCGGATTGGTCTAAAAAATGTGATGTATGTAATGGCAGGACAAATGTCTATGGATTCGCTCGGGAAAGACTGGAAGCCAACAGCGATAAAGCAGAAGCTAGAATCGACAGGCGTGCCATAGGGGCACATTTTGAGAGAGGTGACCCAGTACGGCTGTACACTCCCAAGCATCGAGAAGGATTTTGCCAGAAATCGCAACGGAACTGGGAAGGCCCCTACGATGTCCTTAAGGAAGATCAACGACCTGATTTACCGCATTCAGCTGTCAGCGGGAAGTATAGCCAGTGTAACAATATAGTATCTAGTAACTTACATAATTATTTATATTACTAAACTAAATAATTTACTTTGAACAAATATTATTAGTCGAATTACTTATTTTTTCAATTTTTGATTATTTATTAAAATTCTATGTTAAAAATTATGTTCAAAAACCAAGATTATATACACTTTATATACTTTATAGTGGAAACTAAAATTCAAGATACTCGACAATTATATGTTGTATATCTCGTTACACATCAATACAAAAATCAAATGGAATTAATTAAAATTTATCACCAATATCCGCCAATATATAGGTCAAATGATGTTTTTTCCGTCATCAGAGCAAAAAAGGATTTATTTCATGTATCTATATTTAAGAAAAAATGTTAAAATCTTGTTTCCTCAGAACATCACTTTAGCTTATTCAAGAAACATGTCAAAAAGTGATGTAATACATCAAGTTGCTCAAATATCCACGACTTAATTTAAGGCAAATAATTAAAAATTAAAAAAAAACAAAGTTTTTAAATAAAAATATTAAATAAAATATTAGAAGTAATATTTTATTTAAGTGTTTTTTAGGCTAAATTGTCAAAGTTTCGTTTAAGAATTCTCCAGTTAGAATACGGACAATTTAATAAAACATCCCATATATTTAAAATGTATGCATTTCGCTTACTCATAGCTGAGCAAGGTTTTTTGAATTACTTACAGCAATGTATCTGTGAATGGCAAAAATATCTCCTGTTTCGAAAAAGAGCATCTGATGAATAATAGCTCGTTTTTGACCATCATCTGGATAAATTGAATTATTTTTTCCATATTTTTCTGCTAAATATATCATAATAGCATGACTGTCCCATACTATAAAACCGTTGTCGTCTAAACTAGGAACTGTATGCCTTGGGTTGATCTTAAAAATAAAACGAAATTAAATATATGATTATTGTGGCAAATATCTATAGTTCTGTTCAGAATTCAGAAACTAAAAATTAACTTGTTATTTGCATTAAAAAATATTTTAAACACTTAAAATCAGCTTGTCGCATAATAGAAAAGGTATCAAAAGGTAGTCGTTAAACATTTTTATATAAATGTTTAAATGTTTAAACATCATACTAAAAATTAAGAAGTTATGATCATAACATTTTTAAGTCTGAAATTACAAAAACTTATGTCGACTAAATCTAAAAAATAAAAAACTTTTAAATTTGGAACAAATAGGAATTGGTAGTTTATAAATTAATGAAAAATAAAATATATCACAGGTTAAATTTTTTTTTTTAAACAAATACTTTAGTATTTTAAGACAAAGAAAATGTCTAATACAGAGTGTTTCATTGGAAAATGGGCATATATTAACTGCATATGGGGGTCACCTAGGTGGTTCCAGAAACCCCATCTTCATGGTTATGTTGCCCTTTATAACCGATATACAGGGTTTTACCAATTTTACCGATTTCTTTCTAGGTTCTTAACTTTTGAAAAACGCTGCTTATTTTTTTGATATTTGGTATACAAATAAACCTTAATTTGTAAAATCCAGTGACGTATTAATAATATGGAAAATCAATGTCTGGATTATTAATAAATTTACAGATTTTTCGTTACCTAAAACAACACCGTGTATATCATAATTTTAAAAATCTGTTTACATATTCAAAAAGAGCAGAAAAAACTAAGTTAAACCAATTGATTTTGGTATTTCTGCATACAGTTTTCTTACTTATGTTTCGATAAACAGATGAAATAAAATTAATTATTGACTTCTTAAGTTTTAACTAAGAAAACCGTCAACCTTATTGTATGCTCTTGATTATTTATTTCAATTTTATTGAAAAATTCAACGACAGGTTGTTGAAGAAAAAATTCTAAATTTTACAGCTAAATTAAGAACGCCCGGTATGTGAAATTATGGTAATATTTATTAAAAAAGTTATATTTGTTAAAACATTTTAAGTAAATAAAGAAAAGACAATCACATTTCGAACAAAGTACTTGCTTCAAAACCCTAATCTGTGAAATAATTCTAAATTTTATTTGTTAAAAATAATGGCAAATTAATGTAACGTTTATTTAATTTATTTATAGTTTATTTATTTAAAACACTATTTACAATTTATTTATAACGTACTAATTAATTTATAAAATACTTACAAGTAGGCTGTAGTAAAAAAAAACTGACTGTTCTGTATATTAGTGTTAGTGGAACATAATTTGAGAATTTGTACTTGTGCTAATTAATAATTTCTTGCTCAATATGGCCCATAAATTTGAAAATAATAAATATGCAGACACGTTCTATGTGGTGGTAATGGAAAAACAAATTATAATGCATTTATTTTTAAAAAAATGGTAAATTCTCAACGCCAAAAGAAAATGATTAACATGAGAGACAACATATCGGTTTGAAGCAAAATATTCTAGAAATGGTACAAGACGACCCAAAAATCAACACGAGAAGAATAAGTGACACCATTAATGTTTCTCCGTCTACCTTTTGGCGAAGAATAAAAAAACTTCGTACCATTTACCATTACCATTACCAAGTCCAGAGGCTGCATGCAAGAAGTGACTTCGACTGGCTTTTAGGAGGTGGGTATTAAGGCAGAACAAAATCCGTTTGCCATAAGACAAACACACTCACAGATAAGATTTTCTGTTATTTGATCTGGTGTTATTAACAACTGATTGATTGGACCGCATGTTTTACCTCGAAGACTTATTGGTTAGGTTTATTTAAAATTCTTGCCAAGATGTTTTTGGAAGCATGTCCTTCCAACATGATGGTGCTTCACCTCATTTCATAATAGCAGTGCAAAACATTCTTAACGGTAACTAACCAAACCATTGTATAGGCAGAGGTCTATCTCATAACTGGCCTGCAAGGGGACCTTACTTTAACCCAATCGATTATCATGATTGCAGTTATTTAAAGTAGAAAATGTACTTATCTAATGTAAACACTAGACAGAAACTTCTTTAGAGAATCGAAGGTGCCTTTGAAGAATTGAGAAATAATCCCTCTATGAGTACTAGAGCAATGCGAGATCTCACTAAAAGGGCTTAAAAATGTATTAAACAAAGCGATGGCCACTTTGAGCCACTGTTATAGTTATTTATTTTAGTTTTTTTTTCGATGTATTAAAAAATATTTTCTACATAATTATTTTTAATTTTTAGTTGTTTTCTTATAATAAATAATATTTTGTTATGATTACCCCGTAAGTGTGTCTCCAAGAAAAATTGTTCTTTTTTCGACATGTGAGTGTTTTTATCTTTTCTAATGTGTATAATTTACATTTTTAACATATATTACCACACTGTAATTATAAGATAGTATTAAAATTTGAATTTTAAGAATTTTTACTCAATACAGACTAAACAATGTTAGTGAAAAAAGAAATTTAAACTGAAAAAGGAAATAGGGTAAAGTCGGGTGAGATGGCCAATCGGGAGAGATAGTCAGAAGTCAAAGCTTTATTAATGCAATGTTAGACGGCGCTGCCTGTCAGCTCAGGCAATAAACATTGACTTCTAATCATTCGCAATGTGATTTTGTCTGTGTCAGGCTAATAATAAAGCATTCAGTAAATAAAAGCAATTTTGTGTAGTGGTAAAATTTTATAATAAATGCATACTACGTGCTCCTGTGAATTTATGGGTAGAAATTTATTACTTGTTTCTACAAATTGGGTAAGCTTGATGTTTGTTTAGAAATCCTAACCTCTAACATCAGTAAAAAGTATTCAGTAGGTATTGCCAGTCGTGGTGACCATCTAACCCTACGAGTAGATACAGTTGGCCATCAAACTGTAGGGATAGATAGCCACCTTTTTTTTTCACGTCTGTTTTGTTGCAAGTGAACAATTTACTGCTGAAAAATGTCAACAAAGAATAAAAGACAAAACTCAAATCGTGGAAACTAAACGAAGGAAAATTATAGGATAGCTATTGAAGCTGATAAAAGCGGTTCTTCTGTAAATTGTGCTTCAAAAAATTATGGCATTCCGAGAAAAATTCTTGAAAGGAAGATAAAAATTTACTAAAGTCTGTTTTTAAACTAAGAGGAGCGATTTGAATTTAAGTTGGCAATTCTGTAGCCTTCTGATTGGTCAGATTGCAGTCAGTTTCACACATTACTTTTTAGCATGAACATCAGCTAATAATTGATATTGTTGACAGTTCTGACATTTTATAATTATCTTATTATCTTATCCATTACTTAGTTTTTTACTTTATTTAGTAAATAATAGTTCTTCGGTTAGCAATTGTATTGAAAATCTACAATTATGGATCCTTTTACATTGAGTACTATTAGGGTAGCAATTCCTGAAAAGCCCTACAAGAAAAGGAAGACACCTTATTATTTTACATGCTGATTCTGAAGAAGGTTTTGTAGAAAATGCATTATTGGTTTTTGAAGGTAAAAAGATGGGAAATTACCATGAAGAGATGAATTCGGAAGTATTTTAGAAAAAAATAATTTTATTACTGATTTTTTAAACCTAAAATGATTAAAATGTAACTGAATATTCAAGCAAATTTTATTTATTAGAATAGAATAAAACCATTTACAAAATTGTTATAACATTTAAAACACCATCTACTACTTTTGAGATAATCTTAATTTAGCACAATGAATTAACATTACGTTCACCAAAAATATTTTAAAAATACTTAAAATTAATACATAGGTATGTATGAATAGTTCATTTTAAATTTAAAAATATATGTTGACATGTAGTGTTATGAAAATGTTAGTTCCAGTTTTCAAAACAAATTCTGACTCATAGGCATGTAAATCTTTGAAAGCCTTTATTTTCCCTTTAGCGTATTAACCATGGGTTAACACTAAATAAGCCATACTATCCACATTACTCATAGGAGAGATACCAGGTTACTGTGTGATCCACTTGTCATTCACTGATTAACGTTTACTTTTTATACCTATAACAAATATATCATTAAAAATGTAAACAGACCAGATTTGTATACTTTAGACTAACCTGGCTACATCTGGTTATTCTATTAACAATTTTCTTAAATATTTAATATCCATTTTAAAACGATCATAGCTATTCTCAAAAAGTCGATTTTAAAAGCAAGAAAAAAGTATTTCTGACATCAATCAACAACCATATTAAATTTTATTTGACAGTGACATGTCGTTTTAGATACACATTTCAGATCACAATAATGTGAAATTTACGACCGTTGTCTGGGACCAATAAAAAAATTACTTCTATGACATTTATTCGTTTCTTAACCGCTCCTTGGCCGTTCACCGACTAAGGCCGATAAAGATAACTATTTAATAAATTTTGAACTCGACTATATTTCGAAACTCGCTCTTAGTAACAAATCTAGTTACTTTTCCCTGTGTAAATGCGTCTTTTCAATTCGCTCCTCCTGGTTTAAAAACAGAGTATAGTAAAATGGGACCGGACAGCATGTTGGGGGACGTCAATGAAAATAAATTAGTGCTACATATTAAGAAGGCACAAAAATACGGTTTTCCTATTACGGTACCACATGTTCGGAAGCGTGCCTATAATTTCGCTAAAAGTCAACAAATTTATAATAAGTATAATAAAAAAAGGAATTGCTGGTTCTGGTTGGTTTAGGTCCGTCTTCAGAAGACATCCCGACTTGTCTATTTGGAAAGCTAAAGGTGTGTCCCTAGGGAGAGCTGAGGGCATGAACCGTGTAGACTTAAATAATAATTTTAAATTTCTGCAAACTACACTAAAAAAAAATGAGCTCCTGAATAAATCTGGGTCCATCTATAATGTTGACGAAACAAGTCTTTAATTAAACAATCGACCTGGTCATATTTTAGCCGCAAAGGGCGCAAAAGACGTTGTTACAGTGATATTAGAGAAAAAGGGTGAGACAATGTCATGTATAGCCTGCCGTAATGCCAAAGGCTCTTTTCTTCCGCCAGTATGCGTATTTAAGGGCAAAAACCTGGATGGACTGATTCAATGCCACCTGGTGCAAATATTATCATGTCTCAGAAATAAGTCTACGTAACATCAGCAATATTTTTAAATTGGTTTACAAATCATTTCCTACGACGTAAAAATGAAATAAATGCATTAATATTTCTGGACGGGCATTCATCTCATTGTTCTTGTGTTGAACTAATAGAAACAGCTGAAGCAAATCATGTTATTTTGTTGTGCCTACCTCCGCATACCACCCATTATTTGCAACCATTAGATAGTGCTTTTTTAAGTCATTAAAAACTTTCAACTATCAAGCTTGCAGAGAATGGATGCAGGGTATCCCGGAAGAAAATTAAGGCGACTTCAGTTTGATGATTTCCTAGCGAAAAGCTGGGGAAAGTCAGCGAAAGCTGGAAATGCAATGGCTGGCTTTAGGGCCACTGGAATATTTCCCTGGAATCCTGATTACATATCCGATCACGCTTATACAGTTTCTGATCAAATAATAAACACCGAAACAAAGGAAGACATGAGAACACTCCCACAAGTAAGGAACATTCAAAATACGAACTCTACAGCAAAGAACGTTGAATCGATACAAGAAGTAACTGAACAACCACCAAAAAGTCAAATTACCAATAGTCTGATGGACCCAATACCATCATGTAGCCATGCATATACAGAACCTTGATGTACAACTCCAGTGGAAGTTATCGCTGTTACAGATTTAACACCTGGAAAACTTTTAGACCAGATTAACCCCACACCCAAACTAGTTTCCAAAAAAAAAAGCTCACCTTCGTTAAGTTCTGATAAGGAAGATAATGAAGAAGTCCAATTTAAGGAAGGCAGTGACACCCTTTCAGTGATCGATGAGACTGAATGAACGAGATGTGGAGAAAGTTACAATCAAACCCGAAAAAAGGAAGATTGGTTGCAGTGTATAATATGCCAAATGTGGTTTTATGAAAATTGTTTTTCTTTTAAAAATATTGACCAAAATTGTAGTAAAAATGCGTTTAAAAAAAGTAAAATAGCCATATGTTAAGTCATAATGTATTTTTTTTTTTTAGAAAATTTGTTATATTTACGTTTCAATATTTTATTGGCAATTATATTTTGTGGCTATATCTCTCTTATTATATTGGCCAACTCACCCAACTGAATAGGGATCTTTTTTTATACTTAATTAAAAAAAAATAAAATATTTTCACCGTAATTATTTATTTACCTGTTGTTACACAAGTTGAGTAGCTACTATAAAAATATAACGTAAGCCTAACCCCTACCATAGCTTTACAGCCACGGTCTTACCAAAATGGTGGCTATCTCACCCGACTTTACCCTACTTAATTAGGAAAAAAATATTTTTTTAAATTTTATTTCATCATTTTAATAAAACATTTAGATTTAACTCAAATTAGTAAGTGAAAAAACTGTATGCGGAAATATCAAAATATCAAAACCACTTAATGTAACTTATTTTTTTTGCTATTTTCGATTATGCAAACAGATTTTTAAAATTATAATATCCAAGGTGTTGTTTTAGGTATCGAAAAATATGTAATTTTTTTGTTAATCCGTAATTGTATTTTCTTTATTATTAATACGTCACTGGGTTTGACACATTAAGGTGTACTTGTTTACCAAAGAGCAAAAAAATATGCAGCGTGTTTTAAATGTAATGAACCTAGAAATAAATCTTAACATATTTACTTCAAACCTTTAAAGAAAAACGTTTCTATAAAAAACAATACAATTAAAAATAGTAAAAAGGTATAAGTAGCTGAGAGAGGAAACTTCAATAATATGAATTACAAATGAATTAAACGAGAACTTATGGAAATTACTACTAATGGCTTCATTAATTTTTTGTTGTAGTATAATATACACACATTAATTTTACTTACCTTCAAATATTCAGGTGTCAAATGTTCATTTTTTAACACATCTATAGGAACGTACTCCACTTCAATTTCTAATGCCTTTATGGTTAACAACACAGCTCTTACACAAGGACTACGAATATCTCCGTATAATTTAGGAGCCATTTTAATAACTACGCTATCTAAATTAATCAGAACTTTAACATCGTCTGAAAGTGTTTATCTGGGACGATAATGAATAACAAATTAAATTAAAACAGGTTCGTAGTAAGTGGATTTGTTTCACGGTCGATATAATTAAAAAATAGAATGTGTAAAATAGTTGTTGTGTTACTTTTTGTGATCTCATCAAAAGTAAAAAAAAATTACCTACTATAATTTAATAATTTTTTGATATGATGGGTACTAGATAAATATCATTGAGCTAGAACCTTTTAAATATATTTGGCTTATTTAGTTTGCCAGTAAGACATAAACACAATAATATTTTTATTATTGGATGATATTTGAATTAAAATTATTTTTTTTTTTAAATATTTAAGGCAGCTTAAACCTTAAACTAAAAAAAAATCTGCAGAATATTTGAGCGGCAACAACTTCCCCACCTAAACCCCTTCAAATTCAGCAAAAATTAAAATTTTAAAACTCAATTTTTTTGTAATTTTTGCATCTATATCTGATGGATCAAAACAGAACAAAATAATTCTGTGCATTTCATCAATTATCTTTAATACGGTTTATTTTAGGAATATCATTTAAATAAAAAATATAAAGATAATTTTTACCCGAAGAACTTTCTTTTCCTAATATAAATAGCAAAAATATAGCAAAAACTACTGTAGCATTTATTTGTTTAAAACAGTTTATTTATAATTTATTTACACCTAATACCAATTAATTTTTTATACTAAATTACTTAGATCCACAATATTTTTATTTTACACTAATAATCCAATTTATATACTTAACAATTCGAAAAAATATCTTAAACTATATCTAGATTTCAATTTTTATCTGCAAACTTAACTCCTATCGACAATAATGCTGCGCACCTCACAATTTTCGACTTTCTGACTTTTCTAGCAGTTTCTTTATTAATCACCCTCTATTTTCCGCAAACCATCCATAGACCGAGTGTCTGGTCCGGCGAAATGACTTCTTTAATTTAATATTTTTTGATAAAAGAAACTGTGATGTCTCAATAAAGTAAAGCGGAACTTAAGGGATCAATATGATTGGTTTGGTCGAAAATGACTCGCACAGCAGTACAAAAATGAAAATTTCATGAAGAACTCTTCTAGTTTGTCCGACTATGCTCAAAATGTAAATAGCTCTTTATGTATCCCTAGAAACACTTCAAACTTCTATCTGAATCTGCGGGGCTCTATCGTGCTAAATCAATTTAATCACTTAACAATATTATGATCCTATTATAAAAAAGTAAATATTATTATCGTCACCGTTATTATCGTTATAGTTTGCGTCGTCATCGATATCATCTTCATCACCGATATCATCTTCGTCATCGACATCATTATCACTATCATCGTCGTCATACTCAAGATCCTCATTGCATTCTTAATAACGACTTTCGTTATCTATAACACCTTCTAAAAATATGATTAAAAAAATGTCAGATCATGAATACAATTACAAGTATTGTCGAACATATATTTTTCTTGTAATTGCTAACTCTGGAATTTCAGAGCCTTCGAACCATTTGAATTCAAGACTGTCTTACTTCAGAGAATACAGCGAGGCTTCAAAAAGCTCTCTCAAAAGATCCACACAAAAGCATTGGTGCGCTAATCAAAGAGGATGATACGAAAACTGCCGAAGATAGCAAAAATAAAGAAAGGTAAAAGCGGTATTTATTCCCAAACCTGGAAGGATGGATTACACTGTCCCAAAAACATACCGACCAATTAGTTTCACATCGTTGTCCATGGAGACTTTGGAAAGACTATGCGAAAGGTACATAAGGGATGTAGTAATTAAAACAACACCACTACACCCAAACCTAACATGCATTCACCGCAGGTAGATCTACTGATTAGGCCCTTCATAAGGAGTCCGCCTTAAGTTTTTTCATAGACATAGAAGGTGCTTTTGATAAAACCACCTTTCCAAAGATAATACACTCAATAACCAACAGAAATTTTCCACGTATGGTTAGTGAATTGATACCAATTGATAACATGCTCTCAAAGCGAGCAGTAAACATAAGAGGCTAGGTTGCGAGGGAATGTCCACAAAGAGGGGTGCAATCACCTCTACTGTGGAATATGGTCCTCGTCACCCTTATCAGCCGCCTCAGTAATGACAGTCACTACACAATAGCACATGCAGATAGTCTGGTCATTCTACAAACAGGGAATTTTGAGAACATATTCTGCGAAAGAATGCAAGTAGCTCTAAAAATTATCGAACAGTGGTGCAAGGACCATTTACAGTCTATTAATCCTAAGAAGACAGAAATGATCATAAGGAAAATGATGAAAATGGAATTAAAACTTCCAGAATTCCTAAACACTAAACTTTGCAATAGAGGGAAGTATCTAGGCCTCACCTTTGACAGCAAGTTAACATGGAACTCGCATTTAGTAAACAGAGTTAAAAGAGCATACATTGCTTATAAACAATATCGCCGAACCGTGGGGCGAACCTATGGTTTCTCCCCCAGAGTCGTCGCATGGACTTACGCGGCTATCACAAGACCTATACTAACATACGGTGCAGTTATATGGGTAACAAAAACCCAAAAATTAAAAACTAGAACAAATTCAAAAAACAGCATGTCTCAACATAACAGAAGCCATAAAAACAACACCAACCAGAACCATGGAAGTCATTCTTAGTCTGACTCCTCTTGATATTTACATCAAAAAGGTTGCTCTGGAGACAATGACACGCGTCCACGCGGTTGGAATAGAACCTGATGTAGAATCTGGTGAGGCGAGACGTCGCTTTTGGCAGGAGGCGCTCGATACGATTCAACTGCTTCAAGGGAACATTGACTCCATCTCACCGAGATATGTCTTCCATAAGCCTTATAAAGTTATAATAAAACAAATAGAAGAGCCGAAAGTGGCAGGTACGATTCATATCTACACCCACGGTTCTAAAACAAAACAAGGCTTAGGATGTAGAATATACTCCAGATTCTTAAACCTAAACATAAAATGGGCTGTGAGTTATAGTGCCAGTGTAGTTTAAACAGGGCTAACGGGTATTCTCATAGCAGCAAAAGAAATAACCAGAAACAATATCACTGAAAGGAACGTGCTCACCTATACAGATAACAGACAAGCACTACTCACCCTGAACAGTCCACGAATTTACCCAGGGTTAGTACTAGGATGTCACAAGCTTTGGCCAAAGTATCCATCAAATCTGTGTTCATTTTAAGATAGATCAAAGGTCACGCCATATCGAAAGGTAACCGTCTTGCTGATTCACTAGCCAAGAAAGCATCCAACCAAATACTTTTTGGACCTGGCCCTTCTATTGGCCTGATAAAATCAGTAGTGACAGACCTAATCAAAAACATTAACTTGTGAAAATAATGGGATAAAACAAGAAACTGCAGAGTTGCCAGGGAGCTCTTAAGTTATCCTGACAACACTGCAGCAAACAAATACTATGACTAGACAGAATCTGCGCCTAGTTACAGGAATTCTGACTGGTCATTGCCAAGTACGAAAGCATCTCCATATCATGGGGATGTCAGAATCCGCACTCTGCAGAGGGTGCGAACAAGAAGATGAGACGAGACCATAGAGCATATTCTCTACGATTGCACGACGCTCTCATTTATTAGAAGATTTGTGTCCGGCGAGTATCGGCTAACACCGGCCGATATAAGAGAAGCACCTTTTGTCCAGTACATTAAATCTATAGGCTGGCTCAGGTGCCTATCATCTCAGGAGCATGCACAATGGGCCTAATGAGGCCTAAGTGGCGTGGTGGTAACCCACCCTCCACACATTACAGATACAGAGAGAGACTGTCTGTTTTTATCCATCCATGATTTTGAAAATCTAAGATTAAAGGAAAAAATTCTAATGTAGCATTCGCCCACACAAATATGTTTAATCAGTGCCTAATTCATCGATAAAATTTTTAATATAAAAGTTATAAGATCATTTATATAACAATTATTCTTAAATATACTGGGTGGTCCATATACGAGAGTCTGACCAAACTTATACTTTTTTAAACATTATTAATGATTAATGATTATTTTCACATCGTCTAGTAAATTTATTAGACTTCATTTGTTTATGTTTTATATATGGTGTTCCAAAACGCGAGAATACAATTTTCTCAATTTTTTAAATGGAATATACTGTACGTTATTTAACTAATTCATAATTGATTTCTTTAATTTTAATATTTTTTTTTCGGCTTTCGTTAAACCGATGATTATTATATTACTTGTGACGTCAATTATTTCTCAAAAATGGGTTGATAAAAATTTTAGACGTTTGTTTAAATATTTTGCTTGTAATTGCCATAAAGTTGGCTGTTTAATTCGTGATTAATTTAAGACGCAGGATGTTTAAAACCTAGAATTACTGATGACAATAGGGAAACAAAACATTTTTATTAGAGAAATTAAATGGGAAATAGGATTGTTTCATTTAAAGAATTAAGAAAATCAATGAGATCTACCTATTTGTAGTTATGTAACTGACAAAAGTTTGTAAGGCCATCAAAATCATAAGAAAAAATGTGTTTAAGTAAAGGGAATGCCAATTAAAATAAAAAATTAAGAACTTTATTAATGAATTGGTAGTATAACAAGCTTTTATGTCAAAATTGACGTTTGCAAGCCCTAAAATAATTATAAATTATAACTTACTTTGGGTTGAATTCCCAAATTCGCAAATTTTTTCTACATCGAGTTTCTGAGATATTGATCGGTGCAGTTCCGGTTGGCCTACCCTGTATAATACTTTACATCAAGTATTATATATTTATTATTATTTCCTTTTATATAGATATTAGTCTTCACTAATGGAATACAGAATAATATTAGTTCCTCTTATCTTTGAATTCAAGTCATTGACATTGTGCAATGTAATGATAAAGAAAATTCCAATTTCTGAAATATCATTTTGTATTCTCATTTATCTTTAATAATGTTGATAGCTATTATGGGTGAGTTGAATGTCATTTGAAAATGAAGAAAAGAAAGGGAATAACACAAGATAAATTTAAATTTCAAAAATAACACACATTTAGAGAGACTAAAGGACCTTTTTTTTCAAGTAAGAAACGAAATTCAAAATCAATCTCATATTCGAGGATGAGATCAATTATTTCCAGCCTACAAGATGAAAACTACGAAGTAAAAATTCTTTTATTTTTCGACAGTCTCTTTGTCGCTTAATACATTTTGCCTAACGAAATTGAAGTCTCTCTATGCCGATTTAACTGGGTTTTCAACAATACCCCACTCCCACGTGTTCTGGTAACATGAAAAACGCAACAAAAGTGCCTGATTTTCAAGTTGACATAAAAGTAAATAAACTGAATTGTCAGAAATATTACTGGCGTTCAGTTGAGTATATTTATAGGTTAATTTAGGTTAAACATTTGACCTATATTATGAAGACTTACCCCCACTTGCACCGACTTATTTGTAAGGGCCCATTAACTTAAGACCCTTTAAATTTTAAGGAACTATTAATTTTAAATCACTTGCACCGACTAAGTTATTCGGAGTATTAACTAATGGGTCTTTATTTACGTAACAATACGGCAACGCCGCACTTATCTAGGTATTTTTATGTATTTTTGGATGGTATCAATGACATCAAGAGACGTTTTCCAACAGTTTTTAACGGATAACCTAAAAAGTTTCTGGCAGATAAATAAATATCATTGCCCAACATGTCGTTAAGAAGTTGAAAAGAGAAGCATTACATGCAAAAGAAGAGAACCAGCTAAGGAAGAAAAGCCTTGAGTTGGACATTAAAATAAAAAAAAACAACTTGAGAAGCTGTCTCCTTGTCCTGGGCATTTGTTATTTCCAGTATTGTTTTTTTTTTCTGAGTGCTTTGAGCATGTAATAAAAAATTTAAGTACTTCATGTATTTGTTTTATTGATCAATCACTAAACAATATTATCATATAAATGGTTTTAAAAGAAAACAAAAATTATCTTAAATCTAAATAACAGAAATTGGATTTCATGTGATACATCACCAAAAACATTAATAGTTTATATACTACTATCACTGTTATGTATAATTGGGTGCACCAAACACATAAATTAATACATAACAATCGTAAAAGACAAAGTAATAACATTTTTGGAGATGAATTATATGAAATCCGATTTCCTTGATAATCTTAAGCATCCATTTCAATTTGTTGGGTTTCTATGAGGTAGTTTAATTCTTCCTCGTTTATATCTTCCGGTATGGGAGGCTCTGGCTCATTCATTTCTTTGGCAATATTATGAAGCACATAAGTGGCTACTATGATTGTCAGAACTGTGTCCATTTTTAGTCGAAACCCATAAGCCATAACTGGAAATTGGTGTTTCCAGATCCCAAAAACACGTTCTATTGAATTCCTTGTTCTAATTAAGGCTTCATTATACCGTTGTTCACCTGGTGTGGCTGGATTTGCCAAAGGTGTCAAAAGATAGTTTGAAAGACCATATCCACTGTCTCCTAAAAAAATAAAACAAGTAGGTAAGTGAAATTGAACTTTTAAATGACAAGAATCACAAGTTACTTATCGTAACTCTGGAATTTTGTGGTTTAAATAATTATCAACGAAACATGCAAGTTTACTTACAAAAGTAATTAAATACTCAATTTTTAATAGTAAACCTACAGTTTCCTTGGGAAAACAAACTGAGTATTACAAAAATGCAGTATTGATATTTTGTATAAGGTGAAACATATTTCATAGATAATAAATACAGAAATAATTGTAGTTGCAACCTACCTATAATAACTGTTCCTGGAAAATGACCAGCTTTAAACCTTGCCCTGATAGCAGAATTTGCAAAAATCGTTGCATCATGCACATATCCGGGCCAACAGGCGACCACATCTAAAATTTTTAGATTAGCATCTGTGAGACATTGCACATTTATAGAAAAATATGCTTCTCTATATCTGTATACCTCGGCGTTATCTCCTCCTACAAAAATACAAACATTTTCATATGAATAAACAAAAGCAGTACTTTATCTACATTTTTCCAGAAATAAGCCCAAGTAAGAACCTCATTTATTGAAAAAATAAAGTAAAAAAATTGTATCCTAATTTAATAAATATTTATTTTGCAATCTATTTGTAACTACGTACTTACCAGGTGATTGAATTTTTATGTGGGTACAATAAATTATGGCTTGTACTTTTGGGAATCTAGCAATATTATAAAAGTCATTCTGGACCCTCAGAGATTCCTGAGGATCTTGCCTTTTAACTTTTCGTGGTCGGAGTGCTGCAAGTACTCTTGATACATGAGCAACAATCCGACTTGCTGTTGTTTCGTGGACATTCATGAAGTCAGCTACTTGTATGAGGTGTCCACTACTTGCATAAAAGCGCAAATTCAGTAATAACTGGTTTATTGGCGATAAACTGTTGTTCCTAAAAGTGGATCTTTTTTTATCATGAAAGGTAATAGGAACCGCAAACTATAATTGAATCGTTTATTTCAGAAACAACCTAAGTCACTTTGTTTTGAGAATTTTCAGGAGGTGAAAGAAACGTTTTAAACTCGGACTAAAATTTTAAATTGTCACATAACAAAGAATGTTTACGGAAGTTAGATTTTTTCTAAATTAAATGTGTGTTACTCTGAAACTACAATGTTAATGTTATAAACCCAATATGGACAAAAAGTGACTTAGATTGTTTCTGAAATAAACGATTCAATTACAATGTTATGGTAATGGAATCAATTTAAAAATGTCTGTGTAGGTTCGGACCTGTCATCGGGATATTCCAATTGATCCTCAATCTGTGCTAACAGTTCGAGTACAGTTGCCTTAGTCAACCTGAATCTTTTAAAGAAACTCAGTTGGTCCATCACTTCATAATAATTATAACGCAAGTTACGCCTTCGAGGATATCCAAAACCAAAAATATCTAAAATTTCCATATCATCTTCAAGAGCATTCTTTACCAGCTCATCTTCGATAATATTATTATAATCCATCTTTTTTGTTTGTGTTTTGTTAAAAGGCTTCACTATAAGTAGGTACTAGGTATATAAAATAAAATTTGTGCAAGCACACCTAACCTCAAAAAGGTTAACTGACCTTTAAGAGTGGAGTAATTGACCAAATTTGACCACTTAACTAAAGCTCCTTTAGAGAACGCTTAAAAGACCATTAAAGTCGGTGCAAGACACAAAATCCACTAACGCTACTTTAAAGGTCCTTTAGGATAAAGGTCTTTTATAATGACGATTTTCCAAACTGCACGCCTCTTATTATATATTATGGTTCACTTAGTGGATTTTTTTTAAGCGTAATAAGAATATGTGTATGTGAAACCGAAATTTAATCTGAAAAAATTTGTAAGCAAAAATAAATTCTTTTTGGATACCTAAAATATTTCTTGGTTTGGATCCCAGCAGCGACAGGCTTTTTGTTTTAAATCTCCAACTATGTGTTTTCACCTTTCGAGTTCGGGGATAGTCTTAATAATTTGTAGAGGGAGTTTTGAGATTTGTTTCCGAATTTTTAAATTACTCTACCTAAAAGTAGTTTGGGAGCTCTGTATATTGACATTAAGGTCCCCTTTAACATGCACGCTTTGTACTGATAATCATGGTCCAAATTTGTGTCAGAAAAAGTAAAAAAATCTATTACCAATCGGTAGAATCTTCGGAATAGCAACTCGATTTAAAATTTTCTAAACTATGTGTCTGTTTAAATTTTATAGTATTTTTTCCCCTTGGATTTTTACTTCGACAGCACATACTTCGATTTTCTTTTACTATACGGAGAATGGTCGCACTGCGCAGATTTCTGGGTGTTTTTGAAAAGGAGGTAGATAACTCCGTCATTTTGCTCACTTATTACGTGTTGCCTACATTTTGGCGCAATGTTATGTTAAGAATGGGGTGTTAATACACTGCAACCTAAAATATCTATTGTGCCCCCTTCTGTCGCCACTGCACTAAGGAAATGTCTCAATGCCTATAGCGACCCTTTCAATTCTATTTTCTAAAGGAAGTGTAGGATTTGAAGTGGCTTCAAGTTAGGTAAATTTCGCTCTTCTATTTAATATCCTTCTAGATATAGTGCCCTTGGATTCTGGAGTGCTACACAATCAGTTAGGATGTGAATGGAGGTTTCGTCCTCCTCCTTACAGAATCTGCACTCACTATCCTCTACTACTCTGTTTACTTAGGTGTTCTTTTAGTCGGAAATGCCCGGTAAGGGTCCCTGTTACAATACGTCGCCTGTTCTTGCTCAGGCAGATGTAGGCTTTCGATCTTTTTGGTTATATTCACCCAGAAGTATCTTGGCCTGTCTCAGCCCAAGAGATTGATCCAATTATCGGTTCTTCTACTGCCCAATTCTTTTCTAATCTCTCCTAATATTATCTTACTGCTGATACCGCAGAACGGCTCAGGTCCTACAAAGGGTGTTTGAGCCCCTTTCCTTGCAAGACTATCTGCAATCTCGTTAACCTGTACCCCGTTATGTCCCGGGACCCAAGTGAGAGTAACTCTATTTTTCTCGTCTAGCTCATTCAATTGTTCTAGGCATTTCCAGACCATTTTTGAGCTGATTACGTAAGAGCTAAGCGCTTTGATGGCTGCTTGACTATCGGACATGATGATAATCTCTTGTCTATGATACGTTCTTTCGATGTTCAACTGGATACACTTCTCATTGGCGTGAATTTCCGCTTGGAAGATGCTTGAGTATTTTCCCAAGCTTTCGGAGTGCTTGATTCGGCCTGGTTTTTATATCTATGTTCTCGGCCCATACACTCCTATTCCAGTTCCTTCTATGGTTTTAGAACCGTCCGCATACCACTGAATAGCACGTTTTCGGTTGCAAGCGCGATGGATTCTTGGCTCCATTCTTTCTTGCAGCCCAGCTCTGTGGTTTTGAAGTTTTTCACAAAACTGTACTTCTTTTGCATTTCATCCTGGGGCATGTCCCAGGTATCTTTAGTCCTGAAGCAAGCAGACTTTCGTCTGACTACTCCGTTCCTGATCATTCTATATCGCGTTCTTTTTGCCACATTCTCTATCATCAAATGTAGAGGGGTGAGGTTTAAGATCACCTCCATTGCGGCCGTAGGACAGGTTCTCATTGCACCAGTAATGCAAACGCAGGCTAGTCTTTGTACTTTTGAGATATTAGCTCTCGTAGTAGCTAGACTAGTTATGTTACTCTAGGCTATAGCCCCGTAAGTGATGATTGGTCTCACTATTGCAGTATACATCCATCGCAGTATGTTTGGGTTACATCCCCATCGTTTACCTGCAATATTTTTGCATACGATTAGGGCTTTTGTGGCCTTATTTACTACTTCCTTCCCATGTGTGTTTCAGAGAAGTTTGTTGTCTAGGGTTAGGCCTAGATATTTGACTTAATTTTTCCATTATATATCTATCCCGTCTAATTTAACGGTTTTGAGATTAAGTTTTCTTTTCCTTGAAAAGGCCACTAGTGTTGTTTTTGCAGGGTTTATACTAAGTCCCACTTCACGGCACCATCTTTTGGTATGTTCTAGTCCTCGTTGGACTATATCACACAGGATATTACCACTAGCAAATATGTCGTCGGCATAACCTTGACAGGGTATGCCGAGGTCAGTCAATCTGCATAGAAGTTCGTCTACGATTAGGCTCCACATTAGTGGGGATAGAACTCCTCCTTGTAGACATCCTCTGGTTATGCAGATGAAGAAGGTGTCCTGCCCTATCTGTGTTTCTGCAGTTCTCGTAGATAACAGCTGAGCCATCCATCTGGATGTGATGTTATCTACTCCTCTGTATGCAAGTGCTCTGTTCACAGATTCTTGTGTTTGCTTAAATTTTATAGGTGAATTACTTACAAATATAATGCTATTTTTATGGAGAACATGACACATTTATTTGTGGTGTTATCAATTTTGACTTATTTAGATCGAGGGAAGTATTTTTTTCCCCATGGATTTTTACTTCGACAGCACATACTTCGATTTTCTTTTACTATACGGAGAATGGTCGCACTGCGCAGCTTTCTGGGTGCATTTTAAAAGGAGGTAGATAACTCCGCCATTTTGCTCACTTATTACGTGTTGCCTACATTTTGGCGAAATAGTTTTAGTGGTTATGTTATAATATGTACCCAAAATCAATCCCCAAAGATATTATTTACACTAACCATCTATTTTTTGCAGCTTGCCTGCAAGAGTATATTCTTCTGGTAATATTTTTTATATATCAGATGATGACAAAATTTGCAGTGGGTCCTTGGGCTATAAGGTCGATAAGAAGTGCAGCAATTTTTTATTGATTTTTGTATAAAAACTAAATGGTCAGAAGGACTGAGATACATACAGTTTATGAAAAATCTGGCATTTCATTCTGGAATTAAACAATCGCTTTGTGAGGCAATATTTGGTGCGAAACCTAGGGTTGGCCTCTCTACTACTTCATTGCCTTCGGAACTGCTGAAGGACATTGAGGACGAGGACGATCTTCGAAAACTGTTTGATGGGAAAAACATAGATGAACATGAAAATGATAAGGGCGAAGACGAAGATAGGATTGGAGACAAAGATAGGAGTGGAGAAGAAGATAGGAATAAAGACGAAGATAGGAGTGGAGACGATGACATGGATGAAACCTCGCAAACTATTTTAGAAGCACGTTTAAAGGCTGCGCAAAGCCTCGAAAAACAAGCCAAAAAGATAAAAGCAACCTCTCACAAGTCGCATTTACCAGCGAAGGTTGGAGATAATATTATCATACCCACTCCTGATGTACACAGGGCTAAAGGAGATGTTCGAAACGTTTTTGAAAATGTGCTTGAAGCATCTGATGATGGATTTTATAAGATTGGGACCAAGCATGGTATCTTACAAAAATTATATTGCAGGTAATAATTTACTTTGTTGCGGTTTTTATTTTACTTTAATTTTTTTTTTAGAAATGAATTTGATATCTGCACACAAAAGTTTTTATTGGAAGAAGAAATGAACAAAAACATTGAATTTTCATTAAGAACCGCAGCGATCAAACATTCAGTTGGAACATGCCAATGTTTCTTTATGTGTAGTTGTACCAAGAAGTGTACGTCGAACTGATGCCTTTTCAAGAAAAATAACGTTCTCTTCAACTCGAAATGTCATAATAGTTTGACATGTAATAACAAGTAAATAATACCCAAAAATTAATAAACATGTTTTTAATAATAGAATTTTCTTTAAATAGTAGTAAAAACGTTACTTCTGTGAAAAGACTGTATGTAGACTAATTTTGTCTGATCACAATTAGTTGATTTTAGGACGAATCAGTTTAGACTAGGATAAACTAGTTCATCCTATGGCTCTTCGGATAAACTGATTTGGCCTAGGAAAAACTAGTTTATCCTCAAATCGGGTTTGTCCGGTAACATATACATAATTCTTACAACCTAAGGGACTTTTAGTAAAGACAATCATTTTAAAATTCCAATTAGAATTAAGGATACCTTTTGGGTTCCTAATAGGAATCAGAAAAGAAAAAAATATATTTTTAAAAAATGTTCGAATGTTCGCAACGTTTTTTGAGTTACTAAAGAGCTGAGTTGATTTTGGACACAGTCAAAGCGTCAGGTGTTTTTTGTAGGAGGTTGTTTTTCTACGTTTTATTGTAATTCTGGTATTTATGATTAGAGAAAAAATTACGGATAAAAGTTTGTCATTTTTGTTATTTACCTGATGTCCCTAAAATGGAGCGGATTTCAGATATTTGATGAAAATTACAAAAATCTTTTGTTTTTATTTTGACTGTTTAACATAAGTGGAAAGTCATGTGTTGGAACATATCAGATATAAATGCGAAAAAAATTAAATTTTGGATTTTAAAATGAGGTTTAAAAAAATGTAATTGATATCGTTTTCGAGGTGTTATAGGTGGGGAAGTTGATGTCTGCCGCTTCAAGATTTTGCATTTTTTTATTATTTCTCTTTCTCTGTTTTATGGTAAAATCCCTACAGGGTATTATAGATAATTATAAATGACTGATCAAAAATTTACCTTGTAGTCAATGTAATGATTACAACTTAAAGAGGCCTCAAAACCTTTTTTTGGGGCACAACTGTATTTCCTGCGCTGGTGGAATTATAAAAGAAAACACAAATTTGGTTAATTTCACTTAATTTTTAAACATTTAAACATTACACTTCATATTAGCACAGTAGATCTTGAACATTTTAAAGTACATTGATTTTACATGGATTTTACAAAGGTGAGATGATTCCTGAAGGGACCACCTTCCTTCACAGGAAGCTACAGAGGCAATCGTGGCGGTGGTTGAGCGCCAACGGCGCGATGACTTTTACAAGTGACATGTGTCAATTTTGGCAATTTTATGGCAATTTTATGCGTTACATATATTACAAAACAGTACCATCAAGGAACTGTCAAAAACTATAAAATATTATTATTAAAGGTTCAATAATATAAACTGAACAGTCAAATTAATTTCTGAATAAATTAAATATAACCTTCAATATTTAATATGTTATTAATAATTTACAATAAATAAATAACAAAATACATATTTGTAAACTTTACAATTTTATGAATTTAGAAAATATGTGTCAGATGTAAGTGGAAGTATTATTAATAATAATAATAATAATAATAAATTGTCTTTATTCATCATAGTTACACATTTACAATAACAAAAAAAGAAGGAAAATGATGAAAAGGCGAAGTTCAGCACAAGACTGTTTTTCAACTTAACCTGCAACGCAAATAATAACATTCTCTTTCATACACAAAATGATTATTGATGAAAACAGCTTAAATTAAATTTAAAAAAATTTATTTTCCAAGAGAATAAACCTATTTCATGACAGTTTAGGTTTTCGTTTTATAATGCAGATTGATTAGCTAAAAGGTTTTTTTGAGACGTTTCTTAAAATTAAGAATACTGTAGGATCTATATTCCGCCGTTATATCATTATATTTTTTGCTAGCAACGTACGAGAATGATCTTCCGAATAATGTGGTACTATGCTTGGGTACTACTAATATAGTTCTGTTTCCAGTGGGATAGTTATTATTATTGGAAAAAGACGTTAATTTTGTAAAAAGTATTCCGGTTTTCGTAATTTTAAAACTTTGTGAAAGTAAAGTGTAACGACCGGTAGTTAGACAATGTTAGCCAACCTGACTCCTTCATTTTATGTGAAATATGTTTAAATTTTCGGATACCATAAGCAAACCGTAAACAGCTCTTTGGAATTTGTAAACGCAAAGAGTCAGATTGTAGTAATGCTGGGCCGTACACAGTATCGCAGTAAAAAGTTTTGAAAAAATTAATGATTCACAAAGTTTTATTTTTATTTTCGTGGAGAGCAAATCTCGATTAGGATATATCAACTTCAACGCATTGTAACAGTTTTGGGATAACATATTAACGTGTTTGTTAAATGGCAAATTAGAATCTAGCCACAAACCTAAATTCTATCCTTAGTTGGTAAATAAAAGAGGAATATCGCCTATTTTAATTTTCAATTGTTGTAAAGCTCTTTCGCGTGGTTCTTTTGGACCAAATAAAATGGCAATAGATTTATTAGGATTAAATTTTAAATTGTGTGCCGCAGAAATGTAAAATAAACTTTTGAGGTCATTATTAAAAAGAAACAAATGAGTCAATATTACAAGATAAATAAATCTGCGTGTCGTCCGCGTGTACTGAGCAGTTTTTAACAAAAATATGAACATCCGCTATGTATAGGGAGAAAAGACTTGGTCCTAAAATGGTTCCTTGTGGTATCACTTTTGTTACAGGTAAGGCATTTGATGTTTTATGATCTAATTTAACTTTGTGAGTTCTATTGTTAAGGTAGTTTGAAAGCAAGGCAACAGCTTCTAAGGAAAAACCGTAGTGGCTAAGTTTATTACATAATATTTTATGATCAATAGTATCAAATGCCTTATCCAACATAACCAAACATGTAATTTTACCCTAATCAGTTGCATGGAATAAGTCATCAGTAATGGATGCAAGGGCGGTAGTAGTGCTGTGTTGTCTCCTGAAACCCGACTGAGCGGAATTTATTATTTCTTTTTCATGGACGTATTCTGTTATTTGATCTTTGAGTGTTTTATCGAAGCATTTGGAAAGAGTAGGTAAAATACTAATTGGTCGGAGATCGGAAAGGTTTGACGGTTTAGTACATTTGGATAGTGGGAGTATTATAGCGTGTTTTTATGCATTAGGATATTTTTATGTTGAGATTATCTTATTAAAAATAAAAATTAAATAATTTAGTAAATTATCATTGACTAAATGCAGCATGCGCAAAGAAATGTCATCAAGACCGACAGCGTTACTTTTTATGTGATTTTCTTACTGATTAAGCAGTAAAATTTTTGAAATTAAATTGTGAATCAAATTTTTGCTGTGTGTAGCAATCTAATAGACGTAATTGGTTAGGAGTTTTATCAATATTAGGCAAACTATTAAAGTTTAAATTTATGTCATCGACTTGTTTTAAATTAGGAAAAATATCTGGGTTCGATTTTTTTCTGAGAATTTTAGTATTTCAAGTACTTTTTGAATTTTTATGTTTAAGTATAAAATCAAGGTAGGCTTTTTTTTCTCGCCGAATAGCTCCAGTTGTGTAATTTCTCAACTTGGTATAATAGTTCCAGCTACTCACAGTTTCTTCTTTTTTATATCTGCTTAATGCAGAATTTCTTAGGCTGATCATTTTTTTAATATTGTATTAACAACAGTATCTTCCAATTCACTAATAAAATTACTAACTGATGAATCGGGTCGGCGATAAAAGTTTTTCCACTACACTTTGTGGATATCCATAGTTGCTCAAGAACTGTAATTTGAGAAAAAATTAGTTTATATTGAATATTAGTATTTATGTAGAAAGCAACATCTCCACCCCTACCATCTCTATCTGGCCTAACCAATCGATATCAATTGATAAATATATTACTATAATCCATTTCGGGATTTAGCCATGTTTCGCTTATGCCGAAAATGTCAATTTTACTTTTATTCAAGTACTTCGTTTCATAATATACAATTGCGTGCAAAAAATATCTATAAAATTAAATACACAATAAAACAGTAAAAAAAGGAAAAAAAAAACGTTAATTAGATAAACAATAGATTGTGAATTGAAACAATTTAAATGTACATAAATCCAAAAAAATTTTTATAAAAGGTTTATATTTAGAAATTACAAAAAGATTATTAACCAAGTAGTTTAGTTCCTCTGGTTACTCTTTTTGGATTTTATTCAACTGTCTCTTTTAAAGAAGCGGGTTTATTCAAAACTTCTGGATTGGCCGCAATATGATCAGCTGAGTATTTGTTGTCATCGATTAACAGATAATTGTTTCTCAGCGTGGCTTTCTTTCCGTTTTGCTTTGCAGTGTTTAAATAACCTCTTAGTTTTTTATTAGTAAGTTGGTCTTCTGGGTTTAGATCGTCTGATATATATATTTTAGTATGTTTTAATTTAAAAAAAAATTTTAAAATTTCTGCCTTGCGAAAATATGAGATAAACTCAATTTTCAAAATTTGTTTATTGTTTTTATTATGAAGAAAATATACGTTGTTTAGATCGGCAATGTCCAACTTAACTTTTCCTAACTTTTGCAAACTTTCTTTTATATCTTGGGTTTCTTGGCCAAAAATTATAATATTATTTTTTCGAACACTCCAATCCAAATTATTAGCGCGATCTTTTATCTTGATATTTTCGTTTTCCAAACTAGTTATTCTATTAGAGAGACCATACCTCTGCCTTAATTTATTTTAATGTTTTCTGTGATATATTAAATTTCGTATCAAGTTATCTCAGAAGATTATATAGATCCGATAGTGACAAATCCTTAGTAGCCATAATACAAAATTTTTAAAAGGATTACTACACAAAAATTAAATTAACATTTATCATTTAGACTCCAGACTAATATACAAATCGACGATTTGCGATAAAACAGATTTATCTGGCCAGTTTTTTGGTCAGTTTTTCGAAGGATGATTTATTTGTCCAAGTGAATTGCTTTAATACTGAAGGATTGGGCAGTAAATATGAGAAAAAAAGATGGTACCTACTTT